TATAGGGAGTGCTAATTCTCTCTAAGCAGAGAAGTAGGAAGGAATAAATTATTGCTACTATAGGGGAAAAAAATCACTGATTTCAGGCCACTAGGAATAATTTTTGGATGTCAATGTTATCCATGAAGATATTGAACATTTGTCTGTTTTCAGTCTATCCAGTTGTTGTCTGTCTTCTGGGTACCCATAGATCTCAGGATCAAAACAAGAAAATATGAGCAGCTTAGGGCAGATCAGAAGTCTCCTTATGAGGATGATTGTCTGTCTTGTCTGGTGATGCCTGGTTTCATTCTGAGACATCTGTCTGCCTTGTTTGTGGTCCGGCTCTAGCTTCCATTCTGTTGATGAATGAAGATGGTTAGTTGGGAACCAATGAGGAGTGGAGGTAAATGAGCATGTGTGGGGAGACACAGTATGCAATTATAGTGAAATTGACAAATGGGTTAATACATGTTTTGAGTTACTTTGTTCTAAAAAATAAGCTAACTGCTTATTTATATTATTGCTTCAATCTTCATAACCACTCTTCAGGCTCGGAATTCTTAGTATTACCATGAGCAGTTTAAGAAGTGAAAGTTTGAGAGTTTTTAAGTAGTTATCTCCCAAAATTAGGGTCAGCACATTTCCAGAGGTTTTTGCAGCCAAAGAAGGAGCCCTGGTCACGGCAAAGACCATCCTGTGTGAGAGACTCGTGTGTAGTGCAGTAAGGGCCCACTTATAATCACTCAGAGCCTGACGCATGTATCTGTAGTGACAGAGGAAGGAAGTGTGGGGTGTTGGTACTAGTTTCAGAAGATGATGCTGATTTTTTGAATATTAAAATATACTGGAAAGTAACATTTTGTAGCACCTTTTCTTTACTCCTGTGAAATTGCTTCTGGGAAAGGATTGCACCTTTCCTTGAGAGGGTGGGAATTCAGAGTTGCTTACATCTACATGGGTCAGACCTAATGGTGTGCCAGGTGGAAGGAGTCGCCATTCTGGAGACTCAGTTTATTTTATATTTATCATGCTTTTTTCCTTCTTAATGAAAAGAAATCCTCACATTCCTCTTTTTAGATTTTTGGGTAACAAAGTCTTTACTCTTCACTCAGGCTTTGGCATGAGTATTGTGTACATGTGTGTACATGTGTGTGCATATCTGTGTGTTAGATTTTTATCAAAATTTGAAGGAAATGTTATGAATTAAACCGTGAAACAAATAAATGTCATTGTTATCCACGTTGGGGTATGTGTGTCTGTGTGTCTGTGAGTGATTATAGCTCACCCCACTCATAATTTAATAAGTTTGTCTGGGTTAGATAAAGAGGGACCAAGAAGAACAGGGTCCATGGGAGGAAATGGAGAGCTCAAGCTGGTGGAAAGGGTGTGAGGATAAATGGGCAGTGAATCTGGATCACTTGAAAATCTCTAACAGATAATACTGAGACATTGATAGCAGTTGTTTCCAGCTCTTCCCCTTCCCCTCAGACAAGGGAGAGATGGGAATCTTGGAATAAAAAGTATATGGTGACAGTTCATAATAACACAAATTCCTTATGTGGTATTTATGATCATCTACCACAGTCCTGCAAGTTGGCTCTTAGAGGGATGGCATGAGAATAAGGAGAAATCTTAGTGAGAAGACCATCTAGGCTCCCATTTTTACAAAGGAAGAGACCTAGGAAAAGGCTTAAGAGCAGGGTCAAAGTCATACAGCCAGTCAGGGTCAGGACCACACTCCAAGTCCTTCCAGTTCTAGCCCATTGTGATTCCATCATCATAAGGTCTAGCAGGCAGAATTACTCTAAGAGTTCAAAGACGTTGGACATTTCCCTTAACATGCATTGGTGTACATAGCACTGAATCCCAAATTAGAATGTGCAAGATTCTATTCAACACACATATAGTAACTAAGCTCATTACTGTGTCTTCCATACAGATGATTTGGGGGCAGAAGTCTCATCTCTCTAGAATCAAAAATATAACTGTCAGTAAGTGTGTTAAAAGGCTTATGTTTCTAATTAAAATTTAAGTGCTGTCTGGTTAAATCTGTATTCTCCTGTTTGGGAATGTCTGCTAACAGATATATGGGAGGGGACCTTGGCCAATTGTCCTGGGCATGGAGACTTGCTGGAAGTGTCAAAGACATTTTTATGCTTCTCCTCCACTTATAAATAAGCTAATTTATTGAAAGGTGACTATGAATCTGTTTGAGACTATTCTTAGATTTAAAATGATCTCATGATGTGGAGAGAGGCAGAGACTTTCAGAGGTTGACTAAAAGCTCGCTATTATTAACAACCTTCTTCATATCACTCTCAAGTGTTCAAAGGGTCACATTCCCAGTCTTTCCTTCCTTGACACATGGTATTTTACCATCCCTTCTCCTTCTCTCTGGAACCTTATTTCTGTTCAACTCTCATTTCCTTTCTTTACAATGGAGAAGATCACAAGAGGATTTGGATTGAACATAGGAGGGAATATGATATTTGCTCACAGGGAAGGCATATGTGTAGAAAATAACTCTTAGTTTTTTTGTTATTTTTAAATTGCTCTCCAAGTTAAAAGGTATTCTACCCCAAACAAGTTCAAGTAAGTTTGGGAAACAAAGGGTCACACAAATTTGCTGCAGGACTTTTTAGGACCTTTAATATAAATTTTCACGTGACACGTTGCATTCATCTCAAGCACCACTGATTTACTTCTCTCCTTCCCCAAAGTGCTACTGAGACTTAGAGTGAATTTTAGCCTTTGAACATCCTATTTCTGATTGGTTTTTGAATCCAAAATTTGGTTAGAGGTGAGGGGAAGGAAAAGAAAGGGATTGAGTGTATGTAGAGGGAAGAAGTGTGCTAGGGAAAAAGACTGAAGATAAAGGAGAACTTAAAAAGACAATTGGGATAGAACAAGACTGTTCTCTTCGGAGATCTTTCTTGATGTGAAGGTCAGTGTTGCTATTGGAGAGCTGAGATTATAAAGGCCTATGAACTTTGAAAATGATTATTGCTATAATTGCATATGTAAACATGAAGGGATAAGCATCTTCAAAAGTGGAAAATGGTGTATTGCACCAGGTTTATTTAAATATTGGGTACTCGGGATGTTATTGAAATAGATGTGTGTTGAAACTACTTCAACTTTGTGTTGACCTAATAATGACGCACAAATGTAACAAGTATACACAAATTAATTTGGATAATATGAATATTTAATGGAAGTGATAGAAATAACAAGCAAGGGAGATGAGGTCTGGGTCTGTTTTAGATGTGAAAGTAGGCAATATATCTCTGGACAAGTCTGGACCTGGCTTAGTTAATGTCAGCATGATGGAGCAGACGGGGAAACTGGAACTAGGGCTTGGAAACTGTATAGTAGTAACGACAGATCAAGGTATTTATTATAGAAACCAGATACCCCAGTACCAGACTCATGACTGTGTCTTGTCCAAAAAATCATGTATGGGGCCTCCCCTGGTGGCGCAGTGGTTGAACGCTGGGTTGCGAGGCTGCCCGTGGCCTCTGCGGCGCCAGTTTGGTCCTCGGCCGCCGGGGAGGGTCCCACGTGGCGCACAGACCTCTCTTGCCACGCCTGCTGCTCCCCTCAGCAGTGTATTAAAAGAAAAAAAAAATCATGTATGTAGTTATCTACATGATATCATATAGAGCTCAGGAATGGGACATAGTCCTTGGAATGAGGACTGGGTAAAGAATGACAGACTTTTCTTCTGGAGGGCCTGCCAGACTCAGCAGTATACTGCTAGAGGGAAGGCTCAGGTAGGAGGAACCGTGGGGAAAGAAGGAAAGCAGGGCTTGAGAAGTTAGGCAGAGAGAAGTTGGGGAACTTGGAGGTCATTAGCCTTCTCTTTTGTAAGGTTACAGTGACACCATGGGGTCTTTCAGCTAGACCAAATTGGATGCAATGAATTCTTCTTGGAAACCTTACCCTTATATTTTCAGAGATTCTTAGGGGGTGAGGATGGGAAGAATTTCTGCAGTGCCTGTGACATTTTCAATTTCAGGGTAGTTCAGTTAAATTTGCCTTTTGTCTCAGTTGGTTGTTAGCTCTGTGAGTGCAGGGACCATGACATCAGAAGCAGCATATACAACTCTCACTAAATTCTGATAATGTACCAAAGCTCAAAATAAAAACAAAACGAACAAAACCAAACCAAGAGGTAGGTGCTATCTCTACTTTACACACTAAGTCAGATAGTTGTTCAAATCTTCAAAGCTGGTACATGGAGGGGCCAGTGTCAGAACCAGATTTTCCTAGCTCCAAATCCCATGTTCTTTCTCCTAGACCAAAGGTTCTCAACCTGGAAAAGCTTTAAAAACAGTGATATGTTCTGTTCTCAAATATTTGGGCTCATGTCATATGGGCTAGCATTTGAACATCTGTAATTGTTTTATCCCCCCGCCCCAGGTGATTTTACTGTGCAGTCAGCATTGATAATCATGTTGTCTTATGTATATTGTTATTGTTGGTACCTCCCAGTTCAGCACTCACCAGTGACAGGAACTAAAGAAATGCTTAATAATGAGTTCAGAAGGTGTGTGTAGCTATCAGGAACTTTCCAAATGCTACTTGGAGTTACAAATGCTACTTGGAGTTACAAAGTGAATTCTTTTTTTAATTTGTTTATGCATACAAGAACTGGGGTGTAGGCCAGAGGTGCAGGGGTGATAGGATTCACCAGACACAGAGTGGGGAGCAGAACAGGCGGATCTACTGGAATACACTACTGAGGGGAACAGTGGACAAGACAGGAGAGGTCTGCTGCACCATGTGTGTTAACTCCCTGGCCAGGGATCGAACTCAGGTCACAGTGGCTAGAGATTGCTTGATAGCGCTGATACTTAACTCGTATGTGACCAGAGAGGCCCTACAAAGTAAATTCTTTATAGACATTTTCAGATGATAAAATCAAACATTTGATGATTATCAGAAGACATAATTAAAGGTCAGAGGGCTGCTCTGCTTTACATGCTTAGAGATGTTTTCTAAACCTTCCATTGCAGGTGGTGTGGTCCTCAACCCAGCCTATTATGGCATGCCTGGCCATACCAACATCATGATCCATGAGGTGGGGCATGTCCTGGGCCTCTACCATGTCTTCAAAGGGGTCAGTGAAAGAGAATCCTGTGATGATCCCTGCAGGGAGACAGTGCCATCCATGGAGACTGGAGACCTCTGTGCTGACACTGCCCCCACTCCCAAGAGTAAACTCTGCCAGGACCCAGAACCTACCAATGACACCTGTGGCTTCACCCACTTTCCAGGAGCTCCATTCAGTAACTACATGAGCTATACAGGTAATCACATTAGTCTCACTGGGTTCACTTCCTTTGAAGATTCAGTGGGTGGTAGAGCTTGGGGCTAGGAGGTTGGAGCTATGGGAGGCAGGGAGGATTAGCCAGCATTCATTCATGTCAGGGAGTCGAAGTGTGTTTAATCATAATATATTCTTTTTTCTCATGTCCTTGAAGAACCTAAAGAAATATTGGGATATCACTGGGTCTTACTAACTGGATTCTCCACCACTAGAGATTATAAGAAAAACACACTTCTATTTCAGTTACAAAATGGGGCAAAACCCAAAGTCCTTTTGAGGTCCCTTTGGTTTCCAGAATGTGGTTATTTTTATTTTTACTCACATTCTTATATGTTGACTCTGCAAGAGAGTTCAATAGTGACAGGGAAAGAGATTTCTTCTTCCTTGTCCTCTCATTCCTTCATCATTTTTGACAAAAAGTAATGCCATTCACAGTTTCTTGATAATGGATAAAAATGTATTCCTAAAATTAAGGATTGCTTTGATTTGATGACTTATACCCCTGGTAGTCATGTGGAAGAATGGAGGTAATTTTTCTCTCAGGTGCAGGGGTTAGTCTGGTGATAAGTTCTTCTAGAACTATTCAAAATAGGATAAACCACAAGACCCTGGCTCTGCCTTTGAAGGGAAAAAGAGCAGCGAACTGTCCTGCCTTAAGACAACAATACATTCCTACCCAAGTCTCTTTTTGATGTCTAATCCAGGAGCATCAGATTCATGAGGGCCAGTATTCTTGCTTACTTACCAAAGACTCAGTGGCCCTTGTGTGGCACAGAGAGACCACACAATGGGGTGATGAGGGCTTAGCTGTGTAGGTAGTGCCTTAGAAGTGGGCAGAGGAAACATCTAATAAGCAGGAGAGATCATTTGATTTTTTATTCATTGAAAAGAGCCTTGAAACTAAGATAAATCCTTTTCTGAAGCTCTATGAAAAGTAGGAGATTTTGCCATTTCCAAGAGTGAGTGAGGACCATCCCACCCCAGGTCTGCTTCTTCTTTGAGCTATTGGCTCTCCCTCCCATGAGCATCTCTTCTGAATACTCACTAACCTTTGTCAAAGTCACTGGCCATAAAACAGGTGTCTGCAACCCCTCGAAGGATCACAGATGAAAAGGCCATGTATTGAAATACTGCCATCTGGTGGTTTTCTGAATAAGCAGCCATCAGCTCAGAGCAACCCTGTACCCGATGGTCTGAGTCCCACCGTGGTCCAACCCAACATCAAGATAATGGCCCTGATGTTCATAGCAGCGCTGTCCACAATCGCCAAGTGATAGAAACAACCTAAGTGCCCAATGACATGACTGAATAAAGAAGTTGTGGAATATATGCTCAATGGAATACTAGTCAGCTATTTAAAACGATGATATAATACTTTATTGGGCAAAATGGATGGACCTTGGGGTGATTATGCTAAGTGAAATAAGTCAGAAAGTGAAAGTTAGCAGATGATTCACTTATCTGTGGAATATACATAAACAAAAACCATACACTGACAAAGTACAGCAAAAACAGTCCTTAGACTGTGTGAAAAAATATACTGGTTACCAAAGAAATGGGAAAGGGGAAGGGTGGAGGGGGTACAGGAATGACGGGAACAGACCATTGGGATGTTTGATGGAGGGTCAGGGAAGCATGTGCACATGTGAAAGAGTAAAAGTGTAACCCAAACCTACACAGACATGTAAATGACTGACATTAATTTTTTTTTAAGTGGATGACGCTGCTTTAGAGATAAGCAAATGCTATTTATTCTCTGCCTTTTTTTTTTTTTTTTTTGCTTGCTTTTTCTGGAAAAGAATGCATTTACTCATTCAACAAATATTTCTGGAGCCTAGTAAGTGTGAGATACTGTGTTATGTGCTGGTGTTTAGGGTGGGATCAATGCAGAATTTATACCCATTCAGGTGGATTTCACAGGTAAAAACCTTCACCTCCCTATTGTGTTTTTTGTCTTTGCAGATGATAACTGTACTGACAGCTTCACCCCTAACCAGGTGGCCCGAATGCATTGCTATCTGGACCTTGTCTATCAGCAATGGAGCCAAAGCCAAAAGCCCACTCCCATCCCCATCCCACCCATGGTCATCAGGCAGACCCCCAAGTCCCTCACTCTCCACTGGCTGCCTCCAATTAGTGGAGTTGTGTATGACAGGTGAGAATGGCGAGCCGGTGTTATTTCTCTGTGGTGTTTCTTATGCACGAGATGAAGAAAGTGAAGTTAGAGGAACCCCAATTTGGAGATATAAATGTGGGCACCACTGCACAGGGCTGCCTGCTTCAGCCTACCCAGTTGTCATCTCCTCGGCAAACCCCCCCGGGACTCACATGCAAGCCAGTGGCTTGTCTAGCTACTCGCTGGTGAGGAGCCTATCAGGTGTTTCCTTGGAATGTCACCTCTGTCAGGCTTCCAGGAGCTGTGAAGAGGGTGATAAATGTGATGAAGATGAACCAACAAACCTAAGCTGGTGTTTGCCAGCTCGGGGAGTTAACCTTTCCCCCTTCTCATGTCATAGAGCATGTTGTGCTACTTCTGTTTGGGGGATGGGAGGTGAAGTTTTTACCTCCAAGAACTTCTGAAGCTGCCCAGTACCACAGGTTGTGCATCAGGGGCTTCCCTACATATGTGGACATTTCTAATGTCTTCTCTACTTCCTGTTGCGTCCTGCTCCTCATGCCACATGGCTACTGTCTTGTGAAATTGTCACCTGCTCATTTCCCTATTTGTCCCACTCATTTGGCAACCCTGAGGGCAGAACTATTTTTAGTGTCTTTATCTCTTGCTCTATCTCAACAGATATCTAATGCATGTTTATTGAAGAGCATAATGATACCAGAAGTTTGTTTTGCTTCATTCTTTGCATATTGATATCAATGAATACCAAGGGAATGTTTGTTAAAAGGAGAGAAGGTAGGACCACAATGCCATCTGGCAGCTGGTGGGAAGATAGAGGGATATGGTTTAAGTAAGAAGGATCAGATCCCATGTTGACCTGCGCCTTTCAAAACCTGCAGCCACCTTGTTCTAAAGCACAAGTAGCTATTGACTATTCAGTCCCTCTATGTGTGAAACATTGTGCAAGATCTCTTACCTGGGCTTGTCTCATTTGGTCCCTGCAGTAAACACAACTCTGCTTTATAAGTGAGAGATCTGAGGCATAGAGCCCCAAACTCCGCTACTAAGTAGAGGTGAATATGGGTCCATCCTTGAATTTCAGAAATAAGGAACATGGAATAGATGGTTTCTTTGAATTTAGAACTTTCCCATTTAGCAAGTAGATAACCCTCTTGTACTGTCACAGCCCTCCTGTGTCAAGTCCCAGGTAAGGAGCTGGGGGTTTCTACAACTCGGTTCTCCAAACTCCAGCTTTAAAAAAGCCTGGGGGAGAAGACAGTAGAGAAAGGAATGGGGAACCCACAACTAGCTTAATCATTTTTCAAATAAGTAGTCCCAGCCTGGTGGGATCTTGATAACTTGATGCACACCTAATGCAAACCATCGCTGAAGCCCACAGCCCTAGAGAGTAGCCCTGGCTGCCATCATCAGCACCTGAACTCTTTAGGGCTCCCCTGTGAGTCAACACGCACCTATGCGATACATGTAAGAACCCTCTTCCCACAAGTGTGACCTTGTGCAGCTTCGGCTGGACAGGCTGAACTGTGAGTGCTTCATGGGCATGTGCAAGCTGGAGTTTTACGTCTATTTACGTAATGTGTAAACAATTTAATCTTTCAATTCTCTCTGTGGTACAAACGTTATGATAACGTAGACATCAGACCTGGCTTGCTCCAGTCTGTTGGCAGAGAAGGATGAGATTTGCTTCCTTTTCTCAGCTAGGTGGGCTGATGTTTTGAGGCTTCCCAACACATGTGTTGGGGAGACTCACGTCACACACCAGCCATTTGTGTCACACTTGGAGTTCTGTTTACTCCTCCCGGGTAGGTATTTGGAGTCCTTATGTCAGAGAGGAGCCCAACCACGCACTGAGCAGAGGCTCCGGGAGGGCCGAGTGCATCAAGGAAATGTGGTTTGGAATTGTGTCTACACTTAAATTGAGTGCTGATTGGAGTCAGAGGTTGGGGTTGAACTACACCTTTCGTTGCTGGAGTATTGGACACTTGATGGTGTTTGGGACTTGTGCTAGGGAATTAAGGAACTTATTGTGACCTTAGCAATTTACTTAATCTCTAAGAGTCTGAGTGCCCTTCTTTGTAAACAAAGGGTTCTTACAGGGCTTAGAAACAATTTGTGAAAAGCACTTAGAGGCAGAATGGGAGCCGGTAGCATAACCATCATCCCTATTCAACCATATTATTTTTCTAGCATATTACAAGATATTGTATTTTTCTAGCATATTACAAGATAATGTTTTTCTCCCCCTACCATTGAGAGACCTGGATTTGTGTTGTGTCCATAACAACTGGGCTTCTAAAAACATTCTAAATATCTGAGCCGAGCCTTACCAAGTGATTTCCCTTCGTGATTTAGCTGTCATTGACTGTGACTATTCCACTACCCCAAATTTTGTGCTTGAGGAGCTCTTCATAGTCAATACTAATTGTGGTGGGGGTGACTGTAAAAGAAGTGCTGGGGGCGATGCTGAGGCCAGCTTATGTGCTAACTGTTGGGGAGTGAAATTATAGAATTCAATTTGAAACTACTCGCAAGCAAAGGAGAACTAAAAGGAATGGGAATTCTTTTAACTCTGCAAAGCAGTGTCCTCAGACAGGAACAAGAATATATGGTGGGTGCCCAGGGAATACTGGGCACTCAAAAGAGTGGGAGGTTGCTAACCAAGCATACGAGTTTGCTAACCAGAGAAGCTGGGAAAATGTGATTAGGCAGGAGAAATAAAGCTTGTGATTGGAAATTGAGATTAGTTCATTGTGATGGGAATATAAAATTCATGGAGCAGGTAAGGTTGCAGCCAGCTGGAGAAAACTCTTGGATCACAGTAAGGAATTCGGCTGTGTCCCCATAGGTGATAGAGATTCAAAGGGCATTGCATTTCATATGACTTGTATTTTATGTATGTGATTAAAAGTAAGACACTCAGACCGAGGACCATATATAGATATCACATTGACTCTGACGGTTGCTGTCTTTTTTAGTTGGGGGAAAGAAAGGGGTCTTTGTAGGATCCATAGAGAATTCACATAGAAAGGGGTTTTGTGTTTCTCTCAGATTGTTACTATTTTATGTTGAATGTTCCAGGATGGGAAACTGCCCACTTTCATCTCCACAGACCTCCTTTATGACTTAGTTAAATTCTTCTGCTTCGGAAGCTGGAAATTTTGATGTCACTATGAATTTGCAAAAGTGAGGTCTACATAAGAAGGAAATGAATTGAAAAATAGCTGTGTTCTCACTTATCCCCTAGGCCTGCTTGCCTATTGCCACTCCTCCGCCCCCAAGGGTTTCCAGATTTCCTTATCCCAGTTCATCTGATAGGTTCCCCCCACACCCCATCCCCACTTTGTCTTCCCAGGTCTCCTGGCAGCATGTGTGGTGCCTGCACTGAAGATGGGATGTTCCGTCAGTATGTGCACACGGCTTCCTCCCGGCGTGTGTGTGACTCCTCCGGTTACTGGACTCCAGAGGAGGCTGTGGGTAAAGGACTATGGCTTTTTCATTTATACTTTGGTGGCTGCTGAGAATGAGGATGGAGGTAAAGGGTAGAATAATGGCATGACGAGGAAAAGGGGTGTGTGTGTGTGTGTGTGTGTGTGTGTGTGAGAGAGAGAGAGAGAGAGAGAGAGAGAGAGAGAGAGAGATTGCTCACTCTCCAGGAGTCTGGGAAAGACTCTGCCTGGCCTCTTTGTGTGCTGAATGTCTAAGCTTTGCACAGGGACCCAGGGCTATAGTGAAACAGAGGTCAGTGCAGAGGACAGAGGGATGGAGAACTTAGTCAAACTCAGGGGGTCACTTCTGACTTAGTTCAGATGTGTGTGTTACATGTGCCTACCACTCCTGGGAGCAGCCTTGCCACATGACAGTGTAAGCTGATCTCTTATTCCTCTCTGTCAGGAGAATGATGGAGAACATGTTGTAGGGAACACTCACACACAGGCTCAGCCAGTCTGGGTAGGGGTGAGGTGGACTAGGTGTTCCACACTGACTGTTCTCATCTACATTATTTTATGAGTCCATTAATCACCAGGACTCGTTGTACCTTGGATATGACCTAAGTTGGCTCTTGGAGCCCAGAATATTTTTAGCTGTCCCTTTCCTGTCCCCCCCAACTTCTCAGTCACATATGTCTATCATTATCCCTAAGACAAATGACAGCATGAGTGGATCCCAATTGTTCATACTGTTGACATGGATTTTAGCACCTTTTGATGAATGGCTTGACTTCTTTCATCATCACCTTCACCAGTACTTACCTACTCATCATCTTTTTCTTATAGTAAGTTCCTAAAAACTACCCAGTAAGATGCACTGGAAACAGTCCTATTTCAGTTAGTTTCCCATCTTAATTCTGACAGGGAAAAAGGAGAACACCGATCTTAAAGTCTATAGTATCTGCTAGATGTCCCCTTAGCCTCCCAGTTATTCAAATGACAGGAGCTTCAAGGAGAAATCTGGAGGAAGACAATTTTTTTGATTGATTATATAGGACATTTTTCAAATGAGCATTTTCAGGGAAGAATGAAAAGTGACTGTTAAACTACATTGGACTCATGTAAAGGCTGGCATTTCATAAAAGGCCATTTCTGTGGCCGTTTCCTATGCTAGTGGTTTAATGCCCATTTGACTCCCCAACCTGCTTTATTTTTTTAATTTTTATTATTGGAAAAATTTGAAGTTATTTGGTAAAGGTGAGAGGAATAGGAAGTTCTGGGTTCTAATATGTGTATTGTGTCTTGAGACAAAATAAGTCAACATTTAGTCTCCACTTCATGTTTTATTATAATATGAGACCATAGTAAGTGCTACTGCTGGGTTCACTTCCAGGGGCCTTAATTCTGCTGGTGTTTGGGGATAAATATTGGCAGATACTGCCAAAAAACACTGACTTTCCTTTTCTTTGAAAGGGTGAAGAACCAAATCATACTTAAAATATACACAATGAAAGTGACTGAATTTTCAGTAGAGTATGGAAAAACACATACATTTACAGACATGATCAAAGCATATTTAATGATACTTTTGATCATCTACTTTTTTTTGATCTTTTATATTTGAGTTTATTCTCTTTTTTTTAATTAATAAATTTTATTTTTATATTCCCCATACAATTGCAATCCCCCCATTCTGACCCCAATCCCTCCCCTCCCGTCCCTCACCCCCCAAAAAGTGTCTCTGGTTCATAGTTTTTGTTGATTTTGATTTTCACTTTCTTATAGTTATTCATTTTCCTGGTCCCTTATTTAAGTATTCTAGATTCCTGCTATGAGTGAGACCATCCGGTATTTTTCTTTTTCTTTTTGGCTTATTTCACTGAGCATGATCCCTTCCAGCGCCATCCATGTTGCTGCAAATTGCATGTGTTTATCTTTTTTGAATGCTGAGTAATATTCCATGGTATATATGTACCACATCTTCTTGATCCAGTCATCTATTTTTGGGCATTTGGGCTGTTTCCAAAGCTTAGCTATTGTAAACAGTGCTGCTATAAACATAGGGGTGCAGGTGTTCTTTGGAATTGATGTTTCTGTGTTCTTTGGGTAAATACCTAGGAGTGGAATTGCTGGATCCTGTGGAAGCTCTATGTTTAGTAGGTCCAGAAATCTCCACACAGCTCTCCATAGTGGTTGGACCAGTTTGCACTCCCACCAACAGTGTTGAACTTTAAAATACTGCTATAGTTGACTATTAAAACAAAATCAGTTGCAAGTAGTGAGCATATTGGTTATAGTTCTGCTTTCTAAATGCTTTGAAGAGCAGAACCAGACTTATTTTCTGCTTAAATATCATCTGAAAGAAAACACCCCAGGCTCTCTAAACTAAAATAGCCCCCAGTCACACCCTGCCATTCTCCAGTCCTTCATGTTTTCTTTCTCAAAAGTTCCATTATCCCTTAGACTTTTACTTATATCTGCTTATCCATTTAATGCTGCACCTGTTGCTCTTTTGTAAGGTATATGGGGGCAATACCTTCATCTCTGTTATTCCCTGCTCTAGCTCTAATACATAGGTCAGTACTCAGTACTAGGTGTCAAAGTGGTGCACAATTTTTGTTGAATGCATTAATAAGTGGACTGACAATATATGTAAAAACAAGGGTTAATTATATGGTGAAGTATAAAATTGGATTTTCAGTGGAGAAATTAATGTAGTACATACTGATGCTGACTATAATGATGCACACTTGAAACTTATATTATAATGCAATGTTAATTCAATAAAAACCTTTCTTTAAAAATGAACCATAAGCTGTAATACACAAATACACACATACATGTTTGAACTTTTTTCCTCTGGGTTAGCTTCATTTTCCAAATTCCAAAGGGGTAAATAAGCCTATGTTTGCAAATGTAGGTACTTAATTTCTATGGAATATCACCTAGCTCTTCTACATAACCAGTGAGGCAGGGAGTAAACAGTTCTTATTTTACTAAGCAAGAAATTGAGGCTTTGCAGGATCTGCCTTGGTCATGCAGCTAATGGAATAGCACAGATCAGAGGCTCTGCCCATTTCTAATTCAGCACTTTCTCTGAGTCCCCTCTTGTTAATTACCTCCTTGTTGAGATTATTTACACAGGGCTCACCTCAATATGATTGTGCTATTTTATTTTTCACTATTACATTTTTACTTGACTACTGAATCTCCATATTTTCCCCACTCAAAAATACCTGCTTCTATCTTCTGCCTGCAATTTCCTTCATGCAATGAAGCTGCCTCTTCACATTTACATGAATTCAAAGGCAATTGTCAGTGCATGGTTTTAAAGTTTGCCTACGGGGCCTCCCTGGTGACCTAGGAGTTAAGTCTGACATCACCACTGTGGCTTGAGTTTGATCGCCAGTCAGGGAGCTAACCCACATGGTGCAGCAGACCTCTCCTGTCTCACCCACTGCTCCCCTCAGCAGTGTATTTCAGTAGATCTGCCTGTTCTACTCCCTACTCTGTCTCTTGTGAATCCGCTAACACCCTGTACCTCTGGTCTATACCCCAGTTCTATGTAAAAATTAAAAAATAAACAAAGTTTACCTAATAGTTGATTGGAAGGACTGTCAAGGTACTGTCTGAGGGAGTGAAAGTTTTGTGAAGAGCCTAGTTGAACAAAAAGAGTGGAGTGACAGTCTAAAATGAACATTGGCTTTACTAAGAACTACAACAGCTTCAGAAGCATTAATTTAGCATAAATTATTAATAAGCTAAGTACAAATAAATGATTATTCTCTGCTCAAGGATTGGTTATAGACGTGATTTACTTTCTTTGCATCAGCCTCAGGTTTTCACCTAGGATCTCAGCCACTCTATTCTCAGTGCCCCCCATGGTGTCTCCCATTACAGGGGCCCAGGTAGAGGTGAAACAGAACAGTAGCAGAATACTTTTGAACTGTTACATTTTTGTCTTCAGTAGTACTGAAGATCTAGCCCGTTAAACTGACCAGCTTCTGTAGGAATTTTCTTTCAGTTCTCTTCTTCGTTCTAGCTGCTGATCTGGGCTCTACATTTTCAGACTGTTAATGGCAATTCCTGATGCATCTTTATGTGCCTCTCCCCCTAGGCCCCCCAGATGTGGATCAGCCCTGCGAGCCAAGCTTGCAGGCCTGGAGTCCTGAGCTCCACCTCTACCATATGAACATGACGGTCCCCTGCCCTGTGGAAGGCTGTAGCCTGGAGCTGCTCTTCCAGCACCCTGTCCAAGCAGACAGCCTCACCCTATGGGTCACCTACCTCTCTGTGGACTCCTCCCAGGCACTCTTTGACACGGAGATCTTGCTGGAACACCAAGAGTCTGTGCATCTGGGACCCTTCGATACTTTCTGTGACACCCCACTCACTATCAAACTACACATTGATGACAAAGTCGTGGGGGTGAAAGTCTACACCTTTGATGAGCGGATGGAGATTGATGCAGCCCTCCTGACTTCTCGACCCCACAGTCCCCTGTGCTCGGGCTGCAGGCCTGTGAGGTACCAGGTCCTCCGTGAACCCCCTTTCACGAGTGGCTTACCTGTGGTGGTGACGCATCCTCACCGGAAGTTCACAGACGTGTGAGTTGGGCAGTAGAGCTTTCTAAACCGTGGGGCTTCCTGGGGCTTTGAGGGTAGGTTTTGCTTCCTTTATTCCCACGTTTTTACATCCTGACCTGTCCTCAGTTAGATAAATGATCAGAACCTCAGAGGGAATTTTATTCTAAAGTGGCATATCTGAGATGGAGGAAAATATTTCCCAGAAAGAGATGTGCAGGTGTTCTGACCGAAGACACCACTATTAGGATTGTGGAAGAAAGAGGCCAGCACTTGAGGCTTTCGGTCAGACCACAAGTAATTGCTGCAAGTCAGTTGATGAGAATCAGATATCCTGTCTGGTGGCAAGATTTAATTTCCGATTCCTTGCTGTAGCTTTGGGAGAATCCGCCACAGCTGCGCTAACGCAGGAGGGATCCGGTCGGCTCCTCCACAGTTGAGCGGAAAGGACTGGCGTCTTGCAGACTGCATGTAGTTTCACGACTCGCTCATGGTGTGTGTGGCACACTTTCCTCTTTTCCTCCTTCTTCTCCCTCTCTGTACTTTCCTTCTCTTCCAACTCTCCTCCTCGGGCTTTATTTCTCTTCATTCTTTCTACTTTTAGTGAGTTCGGCCATGTCCCTGGTACTGTGTGCTCAGTGCTACAATAAGATACAGGAATTCAGCTTCTAGAGGAGAAAGCTGGTATGTCCAAGAGCAAATTCTCTTCCCCTCATGATTTTCCTCAGAGGGCAGCACTCAGGATACAAAAATGTTTTATTGGAGTGACTACATGGGTTAGTTTTTGCTGCATCAGGGATCATCACAAACATAGTGGCTTAAAACAACAGGCGCTGTTTTCTCATGATTCTCTGAGTTGACTGGATGGCTTGGTGTCCCCTGGCTTGGCCGGAGAGAGATGACCCAGAACCGTCTAATGCACACATCTGACAATCAGCTAACACACTTGTATGGCTGGGAAGAGAAAGATGGTGCCACACAATCTCTTGTTCTTGAGGAGGTTTTGCTCAGGCCTGTTCTCAAGGTGGTGGAGGGGCTTCCAGCAGCAGGCAGGACAAGCCCACCATGTTCATACTTTTCAAACCTTTGCTTGTGTTACTCATGTTAACATTTCACAAGCTAAAGCAAGGTTCATGGCTGATTCCAGATACCTGGAGTGGCAAAAGCAGGCCATCTCCTGATAAGAGGAATGGCAGGGTGAGCTGGGAAGGATTTATGGACATTTTGCAGCTCCTCCAGCTACAAAACATAGAGGAAAATGTTCACCTTAAGCGTAACTACTTTTTTCCCTGCTAATATTTGCACTCTGAATTGGAACTGGAGGACAGTGAAATGGTCAAAAAGCTAATGTGTTCTTGGATGTAAACTTTGCTTTGTACTTGTTCTCTATGACTGAAATAAAATAAAATAATAGGGTTAAAAAAAAAAGCTAATGTGAATGAGAGGCCAGATAATAGGATGGATTTAAATTTAAAATATACCATTTTTGAGCTTCTCTAAGAAAGCAGTTAAAATGACATTTGATATCTAACTTGTTATCTGTACACATGTGCACACCCAAACACACACTTTAAGGTCAATAATATTCCATTTTCTAGATAAGAAAACTGAAGTGTAACTCTAATTTGATTGAACAGTGAGCATAAATGTCAGACTCAGGATTAAAATCCAGTTTTCTGCCTGAATCTCATTTCAGTCCCCTTTCCTTAGTAACCCACTCACTGCCCACTGTGAACTCACATCATGGAAGATAGGACTCTCTGCTGCTGAGCTTTTCCTCTAAGATGTGAACACACAAGCTGACACTTTCTCCCTCTCCCACTCCCAGACACAGAACAGTATAAGACTTTTACTTGTGGCTGCTTGAGAAGTGTGAAGGAGACCACCTTGTAAAGGCAAGCCATCAAAATTGATGAGGTTATAATGGGCTTCGCTTTTGAAAGTTCTGGTATTCCTATGAGATGAGCTCCCCTGAAAAAAGCTAATCTGGAAATTTAGGTCTTTGATATTTAGGTGACTTTCTTACTGATATGACTGAAACCCAGTACAGGTGTTTTTAAAGGTTTTTTTGAACCCTCTTGACATTTCCTGCTTGCTGATTGTGCCATCAACAGAGGGTGGTGGCGTTGTGTGAAGCTGATTGTCTGTTACTAGAGGCCTTGGCAGATATGTGGTGGTCATGCATGGGATTCCCAGCAAACCTATGCAATTGACTGCTGGCATTCCCAGCCCAGCTTGACTTAGGCTGTAGTTTTCCAATTGGGGCAGGCACTGGAAAAAACTAGTATGTCTTTGGAATTAGCAGCCCCTTCTTCTGTCCTTTTCCCTTCTAAGAGCTCTTCACCTGGTCATTGCATTTAAGGTCAACAGAGAGTCTGATAAACTCCTTCCACCTCTGGTGTCAATTGATAAAAAACTGCATTCCTGGTATATTGCATTTGGGCAGGTTTGCATATTAATGGTAATGTAATGTATTTCTCATTGTGGCAATACATCCCAAAAATGATGATGGAAGGTAATTTTACCTCCTTCCCTGAGAGAATTCCTCTTCCCTCTATGGATTCAGTCTTCTCAAGATAAGAATTCTCTTGAGAGTCAAGAAAGCTGTGACCTATAGACCCAGCAAATGTTTTGCTGAGCCCAAATGCTAAAGCTTTTCCTTAGTGTTATTTTTCCCCTTAGTGTTTTTGATTACTTTGAAGATACAGAAGACTAGCTTTTCAATAGTTAGACTTTTCTTTAAAGCATGGTTTAAATTGAAATGCATCTTCCTAGAGTGTGAAGGGATGTCAATTAATTCAGTGTTAATTCAGTAAAACTTATTGCACCTTCACTAAGTGAAACATACTGGGAATACAAAAATAAGTCGTCTAAACATTCTGCAGCTCTGGAAAACTATGTGTCCTGATCTTTGTTTCACATATGTGGCATGTATCACATTTATGTTCCCCATTATATTTCTTTTAAACTCTTGCAACCCATCTGCAAAGGGCCCAGGATGTATCTCACTTTCTGGATGTAGTGGTCACAGCCCATTGGTTTCCACAGGGAGGTCACGCCTGGGCAGATGTATCAGTACCAAGTTCAAGCGGAAGCTGGAACAGAACTAGGAGAAGCTTCGCCTCCTCTGACTCACATCCACGGAGCTCCTTACTGTGGCGATGGGAAGGTGACAAGGTGGGTATTGTGCACATAGGTTTGTGGGAGCAAGGCACCCTGCCCTGCTCTGACCAGGAGGCACACCTGGAGTTTGAGTTTGGCTAGTTTGGGGGACAGGGAGGTTTCCTGTAGGAGGCAATGCACTGTGTGATTCTAGTATTTTTTTTGAAGATTTATTTTTATTTAGGGCCTCCCCAGTGGCGCAGAGTTTGACCGCTGGGTTGCGAAGCTGCCCGCAGCCTCTGCAGCGCCGGTTCGCTCCCCAGCCACCGGGCGAGGGTCCCACATGGCGCGCAGTCCTCTCCTGCCACCCGCTGCTCCCCTCAGCAGCGTATTTCATCAGTCTTCCTGTTCTGCTCTCCGCTCTGGTGAATTCTCTACCCTTCTGCGCTTCTGACTGTACCCCAGTTCTTGTATAAATAAATAAGTCTTTATTTATACAAGAACTGGGGTACAGATCAGAGGCGCGGGATGGTGAGAGAATTTGCCATAGACAGAATGGGAAGCAGAACAGGCAGATGGACCCAAAGCACTGCTGAGGGGAGTAGCAGGTGAGACAGGAGAGGTCTGCCACACCATGTGGGTATCTCCCTGGCAGGCCAGGAATTGAACCCACACTGCAGAGACTGTGGACAGCTTCACAGCGCTGCTCTCAACCTGCTGCACCACCTGATTGTAGTATTAAAGGAAATGCATGACTGGATCGTGATCTTGAGATGTCACTCACATCCCTACATAGTTAAGGTGGGACTCACTTTTATTTAGATCTCACCCCAGAATATGGATGCTATGGGAGTCCTTGAAAGGTTTCCAATACCAACCTGGTCTCACAATGGTTCAGGACAGGGGCTCATGGAGGAGAATGTTTCATGTCAAATGAGGCTGAAAGAGGAAGTGAGGATCTCTTTTGGATCAGTGGTGTGTTCTGTATTGCTGCAGGAGGCCTTGATGCCCCAGCCAGATAAGACACTGGCAAGCAGCGAAGGCCAAAGGGCCTCACACCGTGGGGCTGAAGATTCCTTGTGCCTCACACCGTGAGGTTGAAGATCTAACATTCCTTCACTTTTTGTTCTTGGTCATAAATAAGAAAAAATTTCCCAAAAAAGTACATTAGGCACTATATTATATGCATCAGTATATTGCAAATAAACGGCATGGAAAATTAGAAACTAATTATTAAACAATTTGGCCTACTTGACAATGGAAGACAACTTATTGAGCATGCCTGACAAGCATTACAATACAATAATCATAGCAGGTCCTTCTATTTTGTTTTCTCTTGAAATTTCTTGGGAAAGTTTTTAATATGAAGCTATTTGAGTTAAGGAATTTCTAGGTAGAAAAAGTTCTGATAGCTGAACTGCAGCTGGTCTCCGGCTGAAGGTCATGTGAATAGAATAGTCCTTTGATGCTTAGGCTTTAGCTGATAGGGATGCACTGGCGGTTATTCACTGTTTTAAATAATTGTCTAAATGAAAAAATAAGTAGCTTTAATGTTAAGTTTGGTTTATTATCTGTTAACCTTGAAAGCTGCCGTCTAGCTGAGACCTGTAGGGGCCAGTAGTCTATGGGAAACATAATATACTAATTGTTTTTGCTTTACACATGATAATGTATTTCCTTATTATTATTACTAATAATGAATAAATAAAGACCTGCTGAGTCTCTCGGCAGAAGATACTAACACCTCACCAAGTGTCAGTGTCTCCTCATTTCCCTCCCCCTCAGCCCTTAAGTTTCAGTTCTTTCGTTTTCGCCGACGCCGTCTCATCCTTTCAGGAACCCCTGACACGACGTTTTGCCGGAGGCTGGTCCCTGGCACTGTATTTCTATCTATCTGGGTGACCTGAGAGAAGTTAGTAGTTCTCTAAGCTCCAGATTGCTGATATGATCCATGGAAGACCTGATTATAGTATTATAAAAAGGAAGCATTCACTAAGGTCAAGATAGAATCATTTCTTTTATTTCTTAAGATGCCATGCTCCTTTCCAGTTGTCTTTCAGTGATAGCAACTTAAGGGGCCACTTCATTCTGGTTTGACTGTAACTTTCCCCAATTCAGCACTACAGATTCCCATGTCCCAGTTGGTTACCCTGTATCAGTCTATCACTGGCTCAACTTAATATGTTACTTATGTAAAACAGCTGGGAGTAGGAGGCTGAAAGGCTAAGCACCATGATTTGTCTTAGATTCTGCCTCCCAATAAGATGGACTGTTTTTAATTTCCCAGAACAAGTGAAAATATATTGTATCTTAAAAACCTGATAGGAAGAAGCCTTTCTTGGTCTCCTATCCCGTTGTTTAGCAATCACTAAACATTGTTTATCTTCTTAATCTCTAAGATCCTGAACTATCATATAGGCCTATTCCTTTTCCTCTAAGTATATATTCACCATATGTTCCCAGACCTCATACATATTGAGGCGATCTAGGCCTCCTTAATACCCCAACCAGGCTACTTTACGTCTACCTTCTGCCTCATTTAGTCTCAGGTTTGCTGCTTCCCTTCCTCCATCTCAGCCAAAATCCCAGGGGATGCCACGCGTATACACAGATCAGATCTGGCTATTGTTGCTGTTGTTTTGCCTTCTCTGCTGGCCTCATTTCAAGTCAATTTGAGATGCACCACATTAGATGGAATATATTATTAAAATTAACTTCACCTGCTTCATTTTACTTTTTTTTTTATGAAAGCTTCAATGGAAAACAACTTTATTTATTTATTTTTTTAAAGATTTATTTTATTTTATTTTATTTTATTTTATTTTATTTTATTTATAAAAGCACTGGGTACAGTCAGAAGCGCAGAAGGGTGAGAGAATTCACCAGAGCCAGAGCGGGGAGCAGAACAGGCAGAAGGACCGAAGCACACTGCTGAGGGGAGCAGCGGGTGGCAGGAGAGGTCTGCGCGCCATGTGGGACCCTCCTCTGGTGGCCGGGGAGCAGCCGGGGATCAAACCAGCACTGCAGAGGCTGCAGGCAGCTTCGCAACCCAGCGCTCAACTGCTGCGCCACCGGGGAGGCCCCATTTTACTTTTTAATATGACCCCTGGAAAGTTGAAAATTATGTATATAATTCCCATTGTGTTTCTATTGGGCAGAAGAACTTGATAAATACAGTACACTCAAATTGTTTAGGTCATCTTCAAAATGAAAATGAATGTGAAATTTCCTTAATTTCTTCACATTTTACTTATCTGTCGTCCATTCACAACTTGCCCTTTAAACTGTCAGTACCAGTAATTTAATTTATAATATACTTTTTATTCCTTTTAAAGCATTCTCATATGCAATTATTTCATCTTTATTCCATCCTTGGAAGAAGGTATTTTAGACAGTGTTTAGAGCTATTCATGATGTTCTGCTTTGGAAAACTCTTTAGCATTCCAAAACCCTTTACTTTTACTTACTGACTTAAAATATGTGCCCATTTGGGAAATGGTGAAAAGTCAAGGAGATAAAAAAAATTGGTAATTCTCAATCGGTTTTACAGCAGTCAAATCTGGGTTCTTTCAAAGGAACTTTGATCCTTTTATTTATCTTATTCCCATGACATGTTGCATGTACCCCTCACTCTAAATTAATTCCACCACATCAGTCCAATTTTAGTCATCAGTTGTATGAACATCTAAGTTTTGAAATAAGAATGACATTTTTCTTTTCTTAGTATTGATCTCTCCCCTGCAATATGTGTTAGCTGCCACCAGGTGGTAGTAAGGAGTAGGGGCAAAGACCTGAGACTGCTGGAGAGAGTAGGCACAGTCTGGCTGCTGAATCTTTTGGTATACAAACAGGAGATTTCAAATTCCACAGAATCCTAGTTTGAACAACAACTGCATCTAGATAAAACTAAGCCAAAGAGACATAGAGAAGTATCATTGAAATGAATTGAAAACAAAACCACATTTAGATAGGCAGGTTTCTTGCTAACCAAGTCAGCTAAGTATTGCTAAGATTCCATTCATTATGTGGCTTTTGCTAGCTGAATACCGTTTACCAGAAACTTTGTCAGGATCAGGACCCTCCAATCTCTTAGATATTTCTGACCCATGGACAACTTCACTTTGAGCAATTCCATACCCAATCAACAATCATTTCTTGAACTGTATCTTCTTTAAATATTTGATTTTTTTTCTGCAATAGCATTTGATTTGCTCCAACTTTTATCCAATATGGACTTTAAAAAATATATGACAAGGAGTTTTAAGGACTTTAAATTATGGTAAATGAACAAAAATTCATTTTATATATGGAGATAAATATGTATCTGTATGTATCTAACTATGTATTAAATGTGTATACTTTTCCCTCTAGCAACCTGGGGGAAGAGTGTGATGATGGAGACCTTTTAAGTGGAGATGGTTGCTCAAGGACATGTAAACTAGAGGAAGGCTTCAATTGTGTAGGTGAGTTTAGAAGCACCTTCCTAGGTTTATGTCCTATTTTTGGAGGTGTTTCCCTGTCATATTTTTGTGATCTCTTGAGAACCTGTAACATATGGCTTAGAGATGATAATAACTACAACAATAATAGTAGCAATAGTAATAACAATGATATTTGACATGTCTTTTATGTTCCAGGCACTGTCTAAATGGTTTCACATGTGTTGTCTGATTTAACCCATATACTTTATCTTGGAATTTAAAGAAACTAAAATGCTTTAAAATGTAGTGCTGTTTAGAATTCACTATCTAATGGTTTCAGAGCTGTTGTCTAAACCCCATAATAAGTATGAAGAGACTAAAGTGAGGCAGAGAGAAATAACTTGCTTTTTCTTATCCAGAAATGTTGACATCATTATGTTATCTATTAAACACAGTCACCAAGAAAGCTTTATACTCTCTTGACTTAAAAAGTTTCCTTACCGTAATTTTTATATATAATCTGTGTGATTGTGTTATTTGGCCAGCACTTTGATGTTAAACATGAGGCACTATAATGTAATGATTCTAATCTTGACTTCAACACTTCTAGTAAAGAGAAAGTGGTTTCTGCTCTCTGCCTCATGTTAGTCTCTTCATACTTATTATAGGAGGTTAGACAATATCTGTGAAACCGTTAGACAGTGAATTATAAGCAGCACTGCATTTTAAAGCATTTTGGTTTCTTTAAATTATAAGATAAAGTGATATATGATTATAATTACATGGAATTTATTAAGATGTGAAATACTGTACAGACGACACAAATGCCCTGCTCTGTAGAGTAAGATCATAAAATTGTAAAATCTTAGTTGTCCATCCATGCAAGTAATAAAACATACTCAGTGCCCACCATGTGTGCCAAGAATAATAAAGACCCTGATCCGTCTTGTGTACAATCTAGCAGTGAATTAAGAGTCCAGCTTCTTTCTCTTATAGAAATCTCTTCTCCATTTCCTGGGAGATGGACCTTAAGACCATTGTGTATAAAAATGGCTTTGTCTGTTATGAAATCCTCTCCCCTCTTCTGGTTTGGAAACTGAGGCTCAGAGCATTTTAGTGACTCATTCATGGACATAAAACAATGTCTCTGCAAAGCCAGTACTGGAATTAAGATCTCCTACTGCTTAATCAAGTGCTTTTTCCTTGCTATGAAACTAGAGAAGATACATTCTTTTCCTGTTTTATTTGACTACCATTCAGATACTTGAAATTCCTCCCCATTATTCTCCTTTTCAGTCCAAACATCCCCTCATGTGATTAGGTTTCCAGACCCTTTCCTATTTGCCCTAACTTGGCATGCTTTGTGTGGTCAATGCCCAGCAAGAAATTCAATACTCCAGATGTGGTCTGGCTGCGTAGAAAACACTGAGCTGATTACCTCCTCTCTTTCATATACAAGTATTTGTTAATACCAGCTCCGTTTGCATCATGTCTTATTGGTAGCACATAGTGGGCTCATATAGTACACCCACTCCCCCCAAACACACACACATACACACATATTCTCCACACACAGCTTTCTCTATTGGAGCACAAATCTCATTTAACTTAAGATGAGATCTTGCTTTGTTTCTGTCACATTTCATCCTTTTATATTTGGCTCATCTTTCCTTAGTCACTAACTCCAATAAGAATATGTCTAAATTATTTTTACTTTATCCTGTTAAGTTGTATTGCAAAGATTTAGACATCTATTTCAATGGGTAATAAGTTCACAATTCACTAAATATAAAGCTCTATTCCATTATCTCTCAAAAGATTATGTTTGAAGAAACCATTGTGAAATGTGTTTTGAGAGGTCTGTTAGTTTTAGATGGATTGGAAAAACTGAAGTAAACAATTTTAAAGTCACAAGAGAAAAGAAATGGGAAGAAATAGTCCCTGGGTAATAAACAGAAAAACAAAACAAGCATTTATGCATGTTATAAACAATATACATATTATAATATATTTTTACTCCTTTTTTTTTAAGAGTTTAGCAGTTTTTTTTTTTAAGATTTATTTATTTATTTATACAAGCACTGGGCACAGTCAGAAGCGCGGGAGGGTGAGAGAATTCACCAGAGCCAGAGCGGGGAACAGAACAGACAGACAGATGAAACACACTGCTGAGCAGAGCCGCAGGCGGCAGAAGTCTGCACCCCATGTGGGACCCTTGCTGGTGGCCGGGGATCGAACCGGCGCTGCAGAGGCTACGGGCAGCCTCGCAGCCCAGCACTCAACCACTGCACCACCAGGGGAGGCCCTCATATTATATTTTAAAAGCATATTCATATGTACATACATGTGTGTATAAAATACATACAAACGTGTATATTTATGTATGTACAGGGATCTTTGGCACATCACTTAAAAACACTGGAACTTAGGTTTCCTATCTATGAAACCAACAAAAACCACAAATGTCACACAGTCCTAAGACTAAAAGAAATAGTATGTATGTAACCCTTATAAACCTGAAGCCATGTTGTCCAGATTAGAGGAGTTGTACACTTGAGGGAAAAAAAATTTGACAGCAAAAGTAATTGAAAAAAAAAATTCCTCAAATACTGTTGTATTTCAGAGACTCTGAAGGGTATCCAAATATACAGCACATCATATCACTTATTTAAATTTCCTTTTTTCTTTTACCTTCCTTTCTTCTTTTACTTCCTTATATCCCTAGCATCCCCTAAATATCTTGTTCAGATCTTCCTGAAAGTTTCTCTGCAGTCAGATGCCTTTTTTCTCCACATTGGTTCTCCCCTAGTATCACCCCTTTCTGTACCTTTATTATATAGATGGATGTTACTATTTTTCCCATCAAAAGGAACCCCTCTTCTTTAGAGGTGTGTGTGTGTGTATGTGTGTGTTTTGTCTGCATATATGGGGCAGGCATTAGTCTAGCCGGCAATTATAGGATTCTCTGTGGTGTACTGGACAATAAGTGTAATTGCTTTTACATGGCATATATAAAAACACTTTTTCTAATATCATACAATATTTCTTGGCAGGGGAGCCAAGCTTGTGCTACATATATAAGGGAGATGGGATATGTGAGCCTTTTGAGAAGGAAACCAACATCATAGACTGTGGGCTCTATACTCCTAAAGGATACCTGGACCAGTGGGCTACCCAAGCTTACTCTTCTCATGAAGACAAGAAGTGTCCTGTTTCCTTGGTGACTGGAGAACCTCATTCCATGGTGAGAAGAATAGAATCATGAGAAACATTGTGAAGTCACTCCGCCAAGTGCTTGATGAGAACTTGTATTTTGCTTGATGGGAACTTGATGTCCTGATTTGGACATCAAGCTTAGTCTTCACTGAACTCAGAATAAGATGTTAAATGAAAAATTTCTAAGCCAGCATTTAAATCACCTACCCTTAGTCCACTGCCCTTCACTAATTTTTATCTAATTTTGGCTATGCAATAGCTGACTCCATGGCATAAAAAAGCAAATTAAAATAAACCTTATAAAAATATCAGAAGTTGCATTTAGGCTCTGTATTTAGGAAATTTATTTTAAAGGAGGAAAAAGAAGAAGTAAAGTCAGAAGGTTTGGATTATACTACTATATCCCTCAATATTATTATTATCCCTTAATATTATTATTAATATTAATAAGTGAGTTTTGACAAGTTATTTAACCTTTCTCACTCTCAGTTTTCTCATATGTAAAATATGTACAGTAGTATCTTTTGCATTTAGCTCTATGGTTTACTATAAGGACCAAATCAGATTTGAACTGATTTTAACTATATTAAATATAAAAGTGTGATTTGATTTGAAAAATTCTTATTATTGAAGAAATTCTAAACTTAGTACTAAAAAAATACTCAGGAATACAATTTTTCCTGAATATCCACCTATATAAATAAAAGATCCTCTGAGGACTCAGAGGCCTGACTTCTATGAATTATAGTTGAATACTGAAAAGAAGATTAAAGACTTTAGCTCTTGGGTACTATTCCAGATGTTTCCATTGCCAGATAAGTTCTTCCATCCATCATAACAATAGGCAACAAAGCCCTTTCAACAGAAGTGAGATTTAGTTCTCTAGATATTTTAGGTCAGGATGAAATCATCGGACTTTAGCTTGAGGAGCCATCCCCAGGAGATTCAGGAACCACCCAAGGTGGGTGATACAGTTCAAGGAACTTGTCAAGGACCAGGTGTCCTAGATTCCAGCTCTTTCCCCTCCTGGCCTGCAGTTTTCTTCCTCTGTTAATAAATGAGTGCTGCCCCTGCAGGCGTGATGTCAGCACTTTAAGCAGGAATAAAAGGGAAGACCAAAGGAAAATAAGTGCACGCTAGCTGTGTCATTCCTTTTTTATTGGGAAAATGGCTGCCTTTCTGAAAGTTGAATACTAAAGACTTACATCAACATCTCATGAACAGATCTAGGTCATGCATCACTTTAGTTGTAAGGGACCTTGAGAAGATGAGCATTTATACCTAGATACACTGTCCCACCAAACAAAATAAGAGTGTATTGTTAACCAAGTCAGGGAAATGGAGATGGGTAGGCAACTAGCCATTGCTGCCACACTCCTGTGGTCTAATTCTGGCATCATCCCCCAGAGTTCTGATACCCATTGACAGGAAGCTAAGAAAGTTGGGAGATTTTAAGTCAGTGACATCTCTCTGAAGTGGCTTTTAGTCTGTCTGTCTTCCCTAAGTGAAGTGCGAGACATTTCCTGGAGTTGCTATTCCATGGCCCCTGGTTCCCTGACTAAGTAGCTCATTCCTGGGCTTGGTAGATCCTGCCTGTTATGGCTCTAATCTTCATCCTGCACAGACTTCCTGGCTAATCCTATGAACAGTTGCCTGAAATCTGCCAGGACTCTTCTTTATGCAAGATCCCTGGGTCGACTGTGGGATGAAAGTTTCCATGTGTGTTTTGCTGCCCTGGCAAGTGATATCTCAGAGCTTTGAGACATTTGTGTATGGAGAAAAGTTTTCTGCCAGCAATGCAAACATGGGACGCTCAAAAAGAGAGGAAACCTTTGGTTTTACGTTGGAGATTTCACTGTCTTTAGTTATCTCTCATCCTTAAATTTTCTTTTCAGATTTGCACACCATACCATCCAGATTTACTGGAGCATGATCCCCTCACTGGCTGGTTCCCCTGTGTCACCAGTGGACATAGACCTCAGGATGAAGGAAGCAAGCCGCCAGAAGGAAGTTTGGAGAGCAAATCTGAGGTTTGGCTCAAAGTAAGTGGCCCAAATGGTTTTCTTTGTTGAGACTGTAGATAAAGTGTGTGTGTGTGTGTATGTGCATGTGTGTATGTGAAAGACTGCATTGGAATGGCTTCTCAGGAAATTTTATTTTGTTATCTCAAAGTTTTTATAGTTCAAATTTATTTTCACCTCTTTTTTTGAATGTTGGACTTCTCCAAAGTGTAACATACACACAAAAAATGCAAAATATCAAAAATATGTAGATCACTGAATATTTACCAGTGAACATCCTCTTTCTTCACCCCATAGATTAAGACAGCCCATAAATATCACCCCAAATCTTCCCATTCCCCTCCTCAGTTATTATACCACAGAGGTGGCTACTATTTTTGCTTCTATCAGTATGAATTAGTTTTGCCTGTTTTTGAATTTTATGGGGAAAACTTCACAGCACTGATGGATATACTACAATTTATTTACCCATACTCATGAACATTTGCGTCATTTCCAGTTTTGTAATTGTGTTCATAACTTCACTAATTCCTCTGACCTGCAATTCTAAAGTCTCTCAAATAACAGAAGCATCAACAGCCCCTTAGTCAGCAGTTTCTTCTATAACCCCATTTACATTTCATGCACATATCACCTTCTGCATTATCACTTCTTTTTTCTTGGCTGCCAGCTAATTCCACATTTTGATTATCCATTTTTATGAAATATCTTATGGGTTTGTCACTGGGAGATTAGGAAGCTACATAACTGTATACTTTCCTTACTCTTTGTGAACTAAATAACATACAGAGGGACCAATCAATGACAAACTATGAAAGAAGTGATGTAATTGGTCACTAATGATGGCTTGCATTTGTCATTTGTGTGGTGATTTGGGGATGGAAGAACTATTAGTAAAATGTATACCTTTGTAGTTAAAATTACTATACTGGGATAAATGAAATTTGAATCATGTTGTTGGGACTTGGATTTTAACTAAATTCTCTTAATTGATATTTGTGCATATGGGAACTATGTAAAAGGAGGACTGTCAGTATATAATTTAAAATTTCTGTAACTTCCTGGTGGATTTTCTCTTTTAATATTAAGAAATGTCTCTTTACCTCTAGTACTTCTTGCTTTACTATAAACTTTGCCTGATAGTAGTATAGTTTTAACTATAGTGGGTAATTTTTTCTTTCTTTTTAAAAATATTTATTTATTTATGCATATAAGAACTAGGGTACAGACCAGAGATGCAGGGGTGGGGGGTAGTGAGGGGATTCACCAGAGACAGAGTGGGGAACAGAACAGGCAGAGCCACTGAAATACACTGCAGAGGGGAGCAGTGGGCGAGGCAGGAGAGGTCTGCCGCACCATGTGGGTATCTCCCTGGCCGGGGATCAAACTCGTGCTGCAGTGGCTGTGGAGAGCTTCATAGGTTGCGTCTTAACCTCTTGCACCACCAAGGAGGCCAGGGTAATTTTTTCTTATACTTGTATATTGTGTCTTCTTTCATCCTACTACTTTTAATCTTTGTGTAATGGTATTTAACATTCTTTTTTTGAAATTAACATACCATTGTTTACCATATACTGCATATATGCAATGTGTGTATATAATACACACACACACACACACTACTCCAGAGATTGCACGTATATTCCTAATTGGTTACAATCTACACAATTTCATAAACACAAGAATGCTTTACCACCATTTACTGCTTTCTTGACTTCAAAAGTTAATATGATTTCATTTATTCTACTTCTATTATTATTTTATTATGTTTATTGAAGTAATATGGTTTTCAACACTTATATGTTTTAGGGGTATAATTCACAACTCTACAAATGTATGTTCTTACAACACACTCACCACTGAAGTCCCACTAGCCTTCCACCATAGTCCATTGGGCCTTCTCCCCCCTTTGCTCTTACCACGCCTCCTCTTATGATAGCCTCAGTTATGCAGTCAGATTTCAAAGGTTTGTATTTATCTGTTCCTTGGCTTTTTTTTTTTTAATATTCCTCGTATGAGTAAAATCACCTGATATATTTCTATCTCCTGACTTATTTCACCACACCAGCTCTCTCTATGTTGTTGCAAATGATAAGATTTCACCTTATTTTCATTTTACAGCTGAGTACTATTCTAGTGTCTCTGTGTATGTGTGTGTGTGTGTGTGTGTGTGTGTGTGTGTGTGTATCTCACATCTCCTGAATTCCACTCATCTATATTTGGACACTTAGATTGTTTCCATGACTTGACTATTATAAATGCTGCAATAAACAAGAATGCATATATCTCTTTGAATTGTTACATCTAGTTTTAATGATTTGAGAAATTTCCATAGTGTTTTCCAGAGACCCAGCACTATTTTATGACTCCCTCTCCAACACTTATTTTTTTAAAATGCAGATTAATTGGCCCCAGGAGCAACTGGTCTTGTAGTCCCAGGATTTGCATTTTCTTTCTTTTTTCCTTCCTTCCTTTATTTATTTTTGTGTAGAAGAAATGGGTGTAGGCCAGAAGTGAGAGGGGTGAGAAGATTCACCAGGAACAGTGTCAGGAGCAAAAGAGGTGGATTGACTGAAATACGCTGTTAAGGGAGTAGTGGGCGAGACAGGAGAGGTCTGCTGCACCGTATGTGGGTTATCTCCGTGGCCGGGGATCAAACTCTGGCCTTAATGGTGATAGCACTGAGACTTAACCCCTAGGCCACCAAGGAGACCCTCCAACACTTATTCTTTCTGTTCTTTTTGTTTTTTTGTTTTTTTTAAAGATTTATTTATTTATACAAGCACTGGGTACAATCAGACACGTGGGAGAGTGAGAGAATTCACCAGAGCCAGAGCGGGAAACAGAACAGGCAGGTTGATGAAATATACTGCTGAGGGGAGCAGCAGGCACGGCAAGAGAGTTCTGCGTGCCATATGGGTGGGGGATCCAACCGGCACTGCAGAGAGGTCTGCCTCGCTATGCGGGACCTCTCGCTGGTTGGCTGGGATCGAACTGGTGCTGCAGAGGCTGTGGACAGCTTCACAGCGCGGCGCTCAACCGCCTGCGCCACCAGGGGAGGCCCAGTGTCTCTCAAGTCTTCTGCCTATTTTTCAGTTGGGTATTTTGTTGCTGTTGTTGAGTTCTGAGTTCTCTGTAGATTTTGGATATTAGCCCTTTGTTTGATGTATGAAGTACAAAGATTTTTCTCCCATTCAGTAGTGTCTTTTTGTTTTCATGTTCGTTTCCTTTATTGTGCAGAGGTTTTTTACTTTGATGTGGTCCCATCTGGGTTAATTCCTCATTTAAAACTGTTGATTTTCATCTGGTAGTTCTGTCCATTAAAGTAAATAGAGTTTTGAAGACTCTTTCTACTATTGTTTTGCTGTCAATGTCTGATTCTGTTTGTTAATCATTGCTTTACATATTTTGATATACCTTTGTCTGTTGCATATATATTGATGGGTGCTATGCATTCTTGATTTATTGTTTAATCATTATATAATGTCCATGACTGTCTTTATTAACACTTTTAGCTGTAACTTCATTTATATTATGTAAGCATGGTGTCCCTGTCTATTTAGGATAGCATTTGTAGAATTATTTTCCAAACTTTTACTTTGAGCTTATGTTTACATTTGGAACTCGGGTGTGTCTCCTGGAAAGAGCAGGAAGTTGGATTTTGTTTTAAGTGTTATTTTATTGAGGCATTATTATATTGGCTTATAGCACTATATGAGATTTAGGGGAATAAGTTCACACCTACTCAGATGTATGCACAAATGCATTCCAATCCAAGATGCGGGAGGCAGTCGGTGCTTCTTGGGACTACAAAATAGCCTCCAGAATTACCAGATGTGTGAGCTCCACATTCAACAAGTAGTTGGTGTTCTTTATGATATTCAGCATTTGCCCATATTCATTGGACTAGGAGCCGAGAGGAAGCCATGGGAACCCAAGCGGAGGGTGGGGAGGGCGGGGAGGGCTACCTTTCCAAGTGCCTCTGTATCATTCCAGGTAGGTCCATTGTTCAGGCTTTCCTACCCTTTCTGGTGTGTCTCATTGACTTGTCAAGTCTTCTGTTCTCTTCTAAGTGATATTGCTCCATCTTTGATGCTGGTTCGCGATATCTGTAAAGGAAGAGATGACGCCTGGCTGCTTCTAATCTGCCATCTTAGGGCCCCTTTTGATATGATTTTAAATTGCCAAATATTTACTTTCTCCAGTGCTCTTCAGTCCTTTCCACATTTCTATATTTACCTCATTTTTATTTGCTTAAATAAATCCATTTATTATTTTTTAATATTAGTCTGCTGGCAATAAATTCAGTTTTTGTGAGACTGGAAATATATTTATTTGACATTCATTTTCAAAGAATGTCCTTGTTTGGTATAAATCCCAATTGACCAGCTGTTTTCTCTCATTAGTTCAAAGAAGTTGTTCCAATGTCTTTTCACTCTCATGCTTTCTTTGGAGACTTAACTGTATAGCTGATAAATACTACTTTGCAGGCAATATCTTATTTTCTGGGAGCTTTCAGTATATATTATTTTGTCTTTTGTCTTTAATAGTTTTTATTATACTGCTCTTAAGTCTGTTTTTCTTGATAAATATTGGACTGTTTGTCAAAATCTTGACCTATGGCTTAATGTCTTCATTTAGTTTTATAACACCCCCACATATTGTTTCTGCCCATTTACATTTTTTGATACCAAATATATATACTTTTTAGATATCTATCTTTTACCCTTTTCTCTTCTAACTTGCATCCCTTTTTGTTCTATATGCTACAATCCGATCACATCTTCTATTTCATTAAACCCAACTTTCACTTCATATAATTGGCTGTTAAACTTTTTAAATCTCAAATATCTGTTTAATTTTTCATAAATTCTTATTTTCTTTAAACTCATCCACCTTATAGTCTATTTTAAAAATACATTAATCGGGCCTCCCTGGTGGCGCAGCGGTTGAGCGCTGGGTTGCGAAGCTGCCCGCAGCCTCTGCAGCACTGGTTCGATCCCCGGCCACCAGGCGCGGGT